TACATCCCTCCCTTCCTTGCCTCCTGCTTCTCAGCTGATAGACTGTTGCTGCAGTCTCCATCTTGTACCTCCTGGGTGTTAACCCGTGGTACGTCGTGGAGCTGGAATTAAGTTTCTCTTTCATCCAGAGGGCACAACTTCCTCTTCTGCTTGCTTGTGCTCGTGACCCACACATCCAGCTTTAGTGACCTTCCAACTGTCCCAGCTGCGCTCTGGCATTTTGCTTGGTAGAAGGAGGAGTGCTGCTGTTTAAAGAAAAATGGGGTGGGTGAGCATTGCTTGTGTCATCCTCTGCAATAGCTGGTGAAAGAAAAAAGCTGTAAAGGTAATGTTATTTCAGTTTCAGTTAAAGGAGTCAGGTGGGAAGCTGTTGCAGAAGGAGGCTGGGTAAGTGCTACAGGGGTCGAGTCTTCATAAGATAGTGTAGAGGCGGGCAGAAAGTGTAATTGTAGGGTATCAAATCCTTCTGGTATAGTTTTGCTGTTGCGCATGTTTGGAATTGATGATGTTGAGCGAGTGCTGCATTTTCTGAAACTGGTAGCTTCACTTTGAAAACCCCCTCTCTGCATAATAGTACTGTGGAGAATGTGCTCCTTAGAGGGAAAGGCATGCTTTAGGAGCAACCAGTGGGTGGAAGATTGTCTTCGAGAAGAGAAAAAAATGTATTCAGCCCTAGATACTGGACAGAAGACTCCCTCTCTGGGGACCATTAGGCTGCACTCTCTCCCCAGGCCTGTCTGTCCAGTCACGTTCAAAGGAGAGATTTTACAGAATCTTTGCAGGAGGCAAGACTGGAATGAAGTTGCTCCTTATTGTATGCGTTTCCTCACGAAAAAGGGAACAATGGCCTTTTGAATAGCTCTGACATTTGCAAAGTATGTTTTTAGTGAGAAGTAGGTACTGAGGAAAGTAATCCTTGAATTTGGTTTAAGATGTTACACATACCAGCAAGTAAGCTGTCATTTTTCCAAATGCTACGTTGATAACATAAAGAAGGAACTGGTTTTGGTGAAAGATACAGCTCAGTGATTTGTCAGAATTACTTGTATCTTTGGAAACTGACCAGGAGCTGATCTTAAACTGAACTAAACTTTAAACTTGTTTTTGCTTGTCATATCTTTAGAATTAGAGTAATTTTCAAAGTGAAAGTCTCCCTTCTCCCCATGGAAAGCACTTGGTATGTTTTGAAATAATGAGCAATATTTAAAAAAAAAAAGTTTTTTGTTTTTCTTTAGTGTGGGGAGAGCGTTCGCTTTTCTGCAGTGCTGTTCCTAACAAAAGAAACCCTAATAGGTATATTAAAATTTTTATTTTTTTAAAGGAGTTGAGATTATGGTAGGTACTTCATGAAGTCAAAATCAAGCTAAATTCAGGTCACCTGTGCTGAAGAGTGTTCAGCTGAAATTCAACAGGGTACAATTAATGTTCACTATGAAGTGACATCTGTTAAATTGGTAGAACACAAGTGCTTCTAAACAAGAAAATGCTGTGTGAAACATGATTTTTTTTGTTTTGTTTTGCTGCTCTCTGGCATATTAAACCCTGCGCTTCTGTCCTGGAAGCTTTGATAGCTCTGCTGTGGTGCATTAACAGTATATAGATTCTTAGGCTAAATGTACAGTATATAAATGTAGAGGGTCCCACTGCAATGAAAATAGATTTCAAGTATCTTTCTTCAAAAGAGAATTGTATTTTAAAAGATAGTTTATATTAATGTTACACTCCAGTGCTTAGCATATATAAAACGATGAAACAAATAATATCTAAAGTAACTCTACAAAGTCATTACAACATCTCAAGAGAAACCTACTAACCACTAGTCTTTGCTGGTGTGTAGCATAACTTTAACTTGTATATTTATTTAACCTGTTGTCTCTCTGTAGGAACTTGAACGTGTTACATCATTGCAGACTGGCCTTCAGTTAGCAGCTGTTATTTGCACAAATGGAAGAAGGTATCTTGCTTAAATAATGGCAGAGATTGAAAGGGGGGAAGGTATTAAGAAGAAATCTGTAAACCCAGGAAGTTTGGTTGCTGATGATATTTCCAATTTATGTGCTGAATGGAATTAGCAATAGTAGTTAAAGATACTGAAACAAATACCAGCTGCTTTTTCTCTTGCAGCTCTCACTTTTTCAGTTGGGAGTTCTCTTGAAAACAGGAACTTTGAGATACACCATTGATCCACACACAAGTTCAGCAGAAGGGAAAACATATCTTCTTAGCAGTCTGTTGGTATCATCTCAATCTCTGGGTTTCCCTAACAATGCTGACAATCTTATTTGCTAGCATGTATTTTGATGGACATATTAGAATTTATTAGAAATAAGTTTTATTTTACATAACATTGAAGATTATGTTAATTTTGAACTTTGCAGACACCTGAATATAGCAAAGGAAGGCTTCACACAAACTAGTTTGGGGCTTCTTGCAAATCAAAGGAAACGACAGTTGCTTATTGGACTGCTAAAGTCTCTGAGAACAATAAAAACACTGGTATGTACAGTTGTTTTTGTTCAGTGGCAAAATATTTTTCTTCATGTCTGTGTAGTTATCGCTGTGGTGTTTTTTTTTCTTTTTTTTAGCAAAGAACTGATGTGCGTTTGAGTGAGATGTTGGAGGTAAGTCCCTGCCAGACTACTATAATTTGAAGCTATTCTAAGTCTACTTTTGTCAGTCATCACAATTTTGTCCCTTCTTTCCTTCCTTTTGCGAACAGGCTATGGGGGTGTGTGTGTGGTGAAATTGTGTTTTTATTCTTTTCTTAAATGTTGTGAGAAATACTTCATACCAAATTAGATAGCCCCTGTGCCGGAGGGCAGTATTTTCTTCCAGAGACTCAATCCTGCCTTTAGATCTGGGCACTGAGGCTTGAGTTAGTTCAGTAGGAGTGCTGTGGAGTCTTTACTCCCTTCCCTACCCTCAACTTATACTTCTTTTCTGGCCTTAGCTTGATATTTGGAAGAAAAAAGAAGGTGAGATTTAGCTGATTGTTGATATGCTGGGTCTGGATAAAGTACTTCTACTGCTATATATCACTATACAAATTTATATATGGGCTTTATTATTTTATTTCTAAGTGTAGTAGCTTCTCTCCTTATTCATTGGGTTGGCTTTTTAATAGTCAGTTGTAGAAAACGTTGCAGCATACAGGCCATGACACTGAAAATTCTACCAATACAGTAAACATACTGCCTAAAAATGCAGTAGATGCTGCACAGAGCAAAAATAAGATCTTGTCTTAAGGTGATTAAGTGTATGAAAGACAGTTTCAGGATTTTATTGACAACTATATTTTAATCATGTAGTGTAACAATTTTGACTTGCTAGTTTGCAAAAGTATTTACAGCTAATACTGGATGGAACATCATTATGATAATCCCTAGTTACTAAATTTGGAAACTGAGTCTTAATAATTGTAACTCTTAAGATTCTTTGTGTTTCTTTGTGTTTAATTCCATCTTGGGTAATACGCCTTGTCTCAGCACACTTATTCTTTACTAAGCAAGAATGTATTAATTTACAGGCTGCATAAACATTGCTTTTTGCTCAGTAAGCCCTGTACAATGATTAGCTTTTCATTTGTGTGCTGTATTTTGTTGCACAGGAAATCAGCTCTTCGCTGTCTACTGGTAGGAGTTGTCTTGAGACAGAGGTGTGCGTGTTGCTTTCACACACAGACCCTAATTTCTGATTATCATAATTTGCCAGTGATTTTTAAACATTAAGGGCTGGAACTGCCCTTTCTGGCTAAGTGCAGTTTTAGAGCTGTGCTCAGTGTCTGCTCCCAATAAGGTATCCCAGATATTGGCCAGTTTATTGTCTTTACTCCAAGAAGAAGTTAGTAGCTTGGAGCATGCATGAGAGCTATTAATAGTCATTCACAGAGGAACATTTAAATAAGGTTCCCAATTAAAAAAAGACCAGACACAAAGCTATAATAACTTACAGGGGTGAGCTGCATCTGGAATATATTAGTAATATATGTTATGCAAGCTAGCTTTCTGATTTGAGCTCTGTTAGACTTAATGGAGCAAGTACCAGGTTTCCAACGGAGAAAGATGCAAAGAGCTGTAAATGCAGCAGTCATTTTAGACCAAGGTACTGTTCTGTTTTCATCTAATGGATAATGTGTGTGGGGTTTTTGTGTTTTTAGCTAAACTTGATCTGCATTAGAATGCTGCTGTTAAAACCAATTTCATTTCAGAAACTCCTTTATGATAATAGCTGAATATAAATTGCCCTTCCGTTTTTACTCTTCAATCAATGACTTTGAAATTCCAGTAACAGCTTTGCATTTGAGCTCTCTGAAGCACGTAATATAACGGATGTAATTAGGACAAAAAAGAGAAGCTCTTAGCTATTAAAGATTGTTTCCTTCCTCCAAGAGCCTTTCTGGCCTCATATCTAATAGCATACAAAACCAGTAGTTTTACCCAAGGCACTGCCCATGTTCTGTTGGCAAGATCCTGGGGTTTTACATCTTTGTGCGTATATTTCTGTTTTGGTTTTGTCCTGGCATCTTCACGTACTTCCTGATCGATCTGTCTACCTATCGGATATCCTTCGTATAAATTAGGACAATATTTCCTTCTTTTTTTTGCTAGAGTGTGTTCTTTTTGTCCTGGGGCCTTGTGTGAGCCAGTTGTCTTTAAATTAATTTCTAATTAGCTATAGAATGTGTCAAATTAAATAGTGTTTATTTGGGCATAATGTTGGAGTGTCTCCCTTGTCTCTTTTTAGGCTCTTTAAACTATGGCAACAGCCTGCCGGTGCCTGAGCTTATCTCTTTCCTTGCTCATGAATAGATCATATTGTATTAAGAAAGGTTTGAAAGTTAGCTGGGAACATGTTAGTTGTTTTGTAATAAAAACTTTCTGATACGTTTTGTATGAATGTATAAGGAAACAAAGCAGCAAGTCATTTGCATAAGGTAATGTAATACATAGTGTTTTCAGATGTTGCTAACATCTTGTCTGTTCCTAATTCTAAATTGCTTGCACATTTTCTGCAATAGACCTTCGCTCATTTCCTTGAACTGTACTGTATAGACATAAGAGGCAAAATATTTTTTTGTTAATGTTTATATATAAGCATGCAAGCAAAAATGGGTGTTGCAGTGTTTGCTTCAAAAGTCATATTAGCTTTCTATTATATTCTATCCTAAGGAAGAGGACTATCCAGGAGCTATTCAGCTGTGCTTGGAATGCCAGAAAGCTGCCAGCACTTTCAAACACTACAGTTGTATAAGGTAAGGTGACACTGTGCAGATTTCAGCTTCTGGATGATTTTATTTGTAAATGGTATAAAACAGTGATCATTAATTCTCATTCTCTAAAGTAGCTTTGATTTACTTTTCTGCTTAGAGAAGTAAAATTGAGGCATTTATAAAAGCATAAGCATCGTCAGTAGCTTCCCCCCTCCCTGTACTGCTACTAACTGGTCTTCACAATAATAACACTGTAAAATCTATGTTTGGACTATGTAATTGTTTTGTAACTGTTGTAGTGTGTTGGCAGGTAAAGTTTCAACTAAGACTGAATTATAACTGTGCTACAACATGGAGCCTAGAGATACCTGAGTGAATTTTTTAATAAGCAAACTAATATTCTGGAATTAATTTACCTATAGCAGGATGGCTTGTGGAGAGTAACTTACCCAGATACTTGACAATGAAATTAGGAAGTGCAGCGCTTCATGCTGTCATGGCGGAATTGCTTTCAGAACCGGAACTAAGTCAAATATCTGCAGTTCCTAGCTTAGAAAGACTTGACATTTCCATTGCTTTTTAGAAAGGAAAAAAAAAAAAAAAAGAATTGGGTAAACATTAAGTTCAAAGTCATAATAGGTATGACAATAAAGGAGTAAAATGGAGTGAATTTTGATGTTTCATCCACTAAGATCATTAGATTAATTAGATTTTCTTTTTGTGTTATTTCTAATTAGAATTTTAAATTTATGAGTAAAATCCTGACATTGTTTGATCTTCTGTCAGAATGCTCTCTGACTTAGAAGGGCCAAAATTTATGAAAACACATGCTTTGCCTCCCTGTGTCCTCTAAATGTATGCTTTGTTGCAACTTCAGAGTAATTACCCATAATCCTTGATTTTAGTTCAGGATATGCTTTTGAGGTACAGCTGTTTCAGGATCTAAAGATGCACCAAAAAAGTGTATAAAGTTAGAAATTGTACCTGGAAATAAGCTCCTCTCTATTCTGAAGTCAGATTTCAAAGCTGCTTTTTGCTTTCTTTTTAGTTCCATAAAACTTGTGTGTGGATAGAAATTGACTGTACAGCCAACATTTGCCTACATATATTAAAATTTTTAATCTCTTCCTTATATAGTAGTGAATGAAAACTATTCATTATTAATTTGAATGAGGAAAAATGACTGTGATTTCCCTTAGTCCTTGACAATTTGGTTGTTCAGAAGCAAGATGACTCCTGAACAGCTTTTGCTCTGCTTGATTCTACCTTCTGTAGAGAGATGGGTCTTGCAGTCTTCCATACCTGTATCTCACCTGTACTGTTCAGTAAGCTCTCCTTAGTATTTATTGCTCTTTCAGATGCTCTGTGGCTCCAAACATTAATCTGATTTATTCTGCATATCTCCTGCGTTTTTTTTTTTCTTTTGGAGAAATTAGCAACAATTATTCAGCTTGCAAAGGCAGCTTGATTTCTTAGAACCTTACAGTGCTCATCTGGAAAACCTCGCTCTTTCAAGATTAGGTTAAATTACACAGTTTCTTTGACTTAAATTCTCTTTTGTGTAAATGATATGAAAGTTTCTGTTTAATGTTGATTCACTTCAATCTTTTATTGCAGCTTCAAAGTTTGTCTCCACTACACTATGTCAAGTATAGCAAAATTTGGAACTTAAACTAACAGTTCACGTTTTTGCCATTTGGAATATTTAACTGCAAAAGTCATACTATTTTAAGTCTCATAGTGTACTGACAAGATACGTGACAAATAGCTGTGAGGATTTACTTTGTTGTTGCACTCAAAAAGAATAGCCTTGCATCCAAGAAGGTGGTTTCTTGAAAGAAAGGATGATGATGTTTTTGTTTCCATTATGAGAGCAGAAGGACATTTTAGCTGTAAAACCCAGCCCCAGTGCATACATTTCAGTCTCTGCGCACTGTTTTACTTGCAGAAGTCTGAGAGAATATGTATTGTATGGAATGATGTCTCATTAGCAGGGGATTGGGCTAAATGAATAAATAGATCTTTTGCATTTCTGTTTAGGACTGCAGTAAAAACCAGCTAGTCAAGAAAACAGACATGTGCTAGCATTTGTAACACATGCTTTTATGAAGCATCACTTCTGTACCTTACCATGAAATATTCACAGTATCCCTTTGATTGTCTGCTGTCCACATGACAAGAATCAGTGCTTTCCTTTGTACAGTTGTTCTTCACATTTTTCTTGCCTGTTGGTGGTAGGAATTTGGTGTAGGTCTTAAACAGCAGGGGATTTAAACCTTTCTATGAAGCGTATAATTTTTTTATTTTGGTGTATACATAATCTGCGGAGGCAAGCACTTCAGCTTCCCTGATAAGACTTCTTTGGTTTTAAGAGTGGCTGCTCATCCTCCTTTGAAATAATAGGCTGGATGTCTGTTACTTTTGTTCTCCATTGTCTTCTTCCTAGGGAATGCTTGTATTATATGATTAATTTTTGTTTAAAAATATAAATCAAAGTCTTCTGCCTTCAACTTGATGATCAGTTCTGATGTGAGTAGACTCCCTTGAAAAACCTGTACGAAAATGCAGTGTCAGATAATAGGATGACTCTGTTGCATTTGGGTCAAAATGTTACGTCTGTTATGTTGCAGTAATGTGCCTTCTAAAAGTGCACTAATTTATATTTGTATGGATGGGGATGCAAAAAAAAGACTTCTAGTAAGTTTTTTATTAATGAAATCAATGCCTTGAATTAAATTCTCAATTATGGTAAATGGGCTTTCATAGTAATCTTGTAGCCATTAAGTCCAAGCACTACCTTTGTAATTGTGGCTTAGAAAATGCACACAGATTTAGCTGGACACTGCATTTCTACATTTTTACTTCAAAACTTGATCAAAGTTACTTTTCTTATGAAATTTTGTGATCACACCTTCTTTTCCTAAATTAGTTGGCATAAGTGTAGGCTGTATTCTTGCAAACACCTCCATTAGTTGAATAAATGAACTATGAATGTGTGTATTTAAAATTGGTGTTGAGCGCTCACTTGAATGGGAAGACAGCACTGTCACAGGAGCTGCACTAGATGGTAGGGATAAGAAACATGTGGCAGCTTTACCGTGGTTGTGCTTCGTGTGGAACAAGTTCTTCTTGAATTCCTCCCCATCCTCCTCTCCCAAAAGAAATGTACTCCATTCTGGAATGGCTCTGATCTTGGGTATTTGCTGGGAATTGTGACGTGAGAGCTCAGGTCCCTGAGCTGCCCAGGCCTCCTATGTCACCAGGTGATTGCAAGCTGAGCATTAAGAATACTGGAAACAAGGAACTAGTTTTCATGAGGATCTGTGCTGGTATACAGATGAAATTAGTCAAATGTGATCACCTGCAATAATCAAGAAATGGTTTCTGGAGCCCAGGAAGTTTTTCAGCCCTACATTGCGGTAGCTGAGCAAGTTCTTCATGTGAGCATTTAAGTTGTCTGGCTGAGGTGAAAAATCCATGTGTATTTTTAATTTAATTAGAAAAGGTAAAGAAATGCTAGATTAGCAGCAGCATGTTCATGACATTTGTTTGAAAGGAATCACAGTCTTGTGTTTATATGGTACCTGCTACCATTAGGGGCTTTGTGAATTTTCATAGGACTTACAGCAGTGAAATTGCTTAATTTGTTCAGTCTGTGCAGAGACTACCTGTGTGTTGCATCATTTTTTACTAATGTCAGCAGGTTCTATATTTTAGACTGGTTAATTGCAACATGTAAACCAACTGTATGTTTATATACAGGGGCTGACGGTCTATGCTGTACCTAGATGGAAAGGAGTGATTCTGTGCACAGAGCAAGGTTCTTACACTTGTTTTAATGTCATCTTGGCAGCTAAAAGAATTGGAGTAACAGGAAATGCTCATAAACTCCAGCAGGAGATGTAGTAACATTAAATTGTTATGGAGGCTTTTCTGTTTGAAGGCTTGTTGCGTGTGGAGAAACAACAAGGAAATATTAGCTACTTGATTTAGTGTTTAATGCCAGCTTTTTCTGATGCAGTTTTTTCTATTTAAACCTTTCTTTGGAGGGTGTTGTATCCAGGTTATCTAATAGAACCAAAAAAGGAGGGGTGATGGGCTTATCATTTAAGTGGAGAGAACTGGGTAGGGAAGCTAGAATCTCTTTTTTGGTAGTTAATGTAAGCCCCTTAGGAGAAGATTCAGAGCACAGTAGTTGTTTAAAATCAGGTATTGTGATTATCCCATGAAAACTCTGTGCTTTACATGCTTGAAGAGAATATCCTGCCTATTTCTCGGTTGCTTTGACGCTTCCAAACAAAAACAAAGTAGTCATATTTTATGTCATTTTTTCTATCTGGTGTTCTGAAATTTTTAAAGCTGATTGTTGGAAAGGAGCACTTCTACCTGTCTTTGTCCTAAATAGTTTCTCTTATGGTAGCTTTTTTTCTTAATCTTTCTATACCAAATATATCTCAAAGAAATGAAATAATGGGCTTAAAAAGATTTCCTGAGAGTTGTGTAAGCTTAAGTTCTTTTTTCCCCTATAGCATTTCTATAAGGGGTTCGTGAGCAACAAATAAGAGTTACCATACCATAGTTTGCAAAGACTTGACAGCCCTGACCTTTGTGTGTACGTTCTGCTATAGACCACAGTGCCAAATCAAAACATTTAGAGCACAAATTTCTTGGGGGTTGGGAACGTCTTTGAATGCTTGGCTAAATCCTAGCAGGATGGGGTCTTGTCTGGGCCCTCTTAACACTGTTGCATTATAAACCTAGGATAATGTGCTGCTGCAACAGATATTTTAATTTGAAGTGTTAGAAATACTGCAAATGCCTGCAGTAAGTGCCTTTCAGTAATAATAGTAGTGTGGTGATGCTAGTCAAACACAGTAACAGCAGGCTAATGATTTATGATAAATTACTGTATTGTGGCTTGGTAGCAGGCAAATGTGTTTTTTGGAAACAAGAAGCTTGGTGTGAAATGTTAATATGATCAGTAGTTTTATTTTAAACATTTTTTTCTTTCATTAATAGTGAGTTGAATTCGAAACTGCAAGACACCTTGGAACAAATAGAGGTAAGAATTAATATATTGATGTTTAGTAAACGTTAGTATTTAACCTCTAGGTACTAGAGCTTTCTAATACAATGTCATTGTCAATTACAGAATGTGCACATTTCTTTCAAATACTGTCTTTGGAATGCTATGGTCATTGCTATTCATGTAGACTTGTGCTGCAATCAACCTGAATGCTCTATAATATCTTATCAAACCTATGACCCCAGCTCACTAATTGTTCCCACTTTAAGTGGTAAAGCAGTCAAATAAAATAGGCACATAACATTTGAAGTAGTGGAGCAAAGGTATGCTCCCTGTATGATGATGGTTTATGGAGTTTTTCAGTCCATGAACTGCTGTGAATTCTTTAGACTACGCCTAAAAAGTTGTGAAAAGAAAGCAGCATGCCAATAGGTTTGGATAAGCTACACAAGAGATCACAGTTTCACTGGAAATCTTAGAGGTCAGCAAACTGGAAACTGCTGGATAGGGCCAGTGCTAAGCCATAGGAAGTAAGACCTGAATAGCTGGGAAAGATGTGACTAGGATCAGTTTAAGTTGGTAGATAGCATTGCAAAACCAAATGAAAATAAAATGGTAAGCATCTTGCTGGAAATTGGTGGCAAAAAAAGTTCATGAACAGTAGGAATTCTTTTAACTCCATGTGGTGGGTTGACCCTGCCTGGATGCCAGGTGCCCATCAAGCCACTCTATCACTTCCCTCCTCAACTGGACAGGGGAGAGAAAATACAACAAAAGGCTCATGGGTGGAGGTAAGGACAGGGAGAGTTCATTCACCAATTACCGTCATGGGCAAAACAGACTCGACTTGGGGAAATTAGTTTAATTTATTACCAGTCAAATCAGAGTAGGATTATGAGAAATAAACCCAAATCTTAAAATACCTTCCCCCCACCCCTCCCTTCTTCCCGGGCTTAACTTTAGTCCTGATTTTCTCTACCTCCTCCTCCCCAGCAGTGCAGGGGGATGGGAATGGGGGTTGTGGTCAGTTCATCACATGTTGTCTCTGCCGCTCCTTCCTCCTCAGGGGGAGGCCTTCCTCCTCAGGGGAGGACTCCTCACACTCTGCCCCTGCTCCAGTGTGGGGTCCCTCCCATGGGAGATAGTCCTCCGTGAATTTCTCTAATGTGAGTTGTTCCCACAGGCTGCAGTTCTTCACGAACTGCTCCAGCATGGGTCCTTTCCACGGGGTCACAACCTCCTTCAGGGCACATCCACCTGCTCCGGTGTGGGGTCCTCTACGGGCTGCAGGTGATATCTGCTCCACCGTGGACCTCCAGGGTCACAGCCTGCCTCACCATGGTCTTCACTGTGGGCTGCAGGGGAATCTCTGCTCTGGTGCCTGGAGCACCTCCTCCCCCTCCTTCACCGACCTTGGTGTCTACAGTCATTCCTCTCACATGTTCTCCCTCCTGTCTCTCTGGCTGCAATTGCTGTTGCACAGTTTTTTCCCCCATTCTTAAATATGTTATCCAGGAGGCGCTACTGCCGTCGCTGATGGGGCTTGGCCTTGGCCAGCAGCAGGTCCATCTTGGAGCAGGCTGGCATTGGATATGTTGGACATAGGGGAAGCTTCTAGCAGCTTCTCAAGACACCCCTGCAGCCCCCCTGCTACCAAAACCTGGCCACATAAGCCAAATACACTCCATTACTAGGTAATTTTGAGCTGGAACGTGACCAGCTTATTGTAAGAAGTCTAGTAATATAGATATGTGCGTGTAGTGCATATAATGCCTGCACAGGTAATGCATAGCAGGAAACTGAATTAGCTACCCCAGCAGCTCTCTATGCCTCTGGTCATGTGCTTTTTTAGAAAGTCAGATTAGTGTATGTATTATCATACCTCATTATTTAATTCCCTGTACAATCAGAACTTTGTTAAATTTCCTTTATTTATGCCTTTGAACTTTCTTTGCAAAGCTGTTTTTTTGTTCTTTTTCACTGATATATGCTCGATTCAGAGCATGGGTCGTTCAAAAGAGCTAATGAAATGGCTGTTTTCTTCTCACTCTCACATAGGCCAGTCATTAAACTTGTCTTTTGGTTTTTTTTTTTGTTTTTTTTTTTTTAAGATCACTCAGCTTGCATTCCTGTTGCTTTCATTTACTTGCCATTTGTTCCTTGTGAGCAAACATTGATGTTGCTTAAAAGGAGACGTGCATCTTTACTTTCTTCCAGTAACAGCTTTGCAGAGCAAATTCTGCTCGTACTAAAATCTGGTAAAATGTGCCATGTTGGTTGGTGAAAGCAATTCACAGCTAGCTAAATAATCATATTGAAGATTTTTACTTATTACTTGTGAATTTTTAGAAATATGTTACTTTCCTCCTGTGAAAGGGTCTTATTTTCTACTGGAATTATGTCTGTGGGTATGGGAGAAAGTAAGTCATCCTGGGGTTCATGGAGTGTTCCTGTGAAATATGGAAAAAAATGATCTAATTAATATAGAATCATACTCTGCTAATTAGTATTTTAATAATGAGTCTTCTCAATAGTTGAGTGTGTCTGCTTATGTCCATTCCATTGGGGTTTGTTTTTTTTTTCCGTTCCCTTTCCTTCTTGTAATTCAGGTTTTGACATTGACCTTACTTTTATACTGTGTTACAAATAAAATGCAAGGTGGCTATAGTGGAAGGAACCATTGAAAAATGTAGCTGAAAAGATTAATGTACTCAGTGTTTTAAGGGTTCTTTTCATGGGCAGTTTGATATCCCTGTTTCTCCCTTTGTACAGCTGTTCTGCATGAAATAAGAGAAGGAAATTTTTTTTAGAATCAGTCTATGACTGAAATTCAAATTGCTAGGTAAAATTTTAAAGAAGTTCTGAATCTTTAGGTTACTTGTCCTTTTACCATTTTGCTTAGGAGAAAGTGCAGTGTTTGATTGTATTTGTCCCCTTTTTTGTGCTTAAAGAAAATACTGATCTGCTTTAAAAACCCAACAAAATAAATCCCCCCCCAAACCCAACAGCAACTAACCCTCCCCACCAAATCTCTAGGATTAAAATCCATAAATGTTTTGTGGCTAATGAAGTAATTAATGAAAAATTTCCAGTGGAGTAAGTAGAAGTACATAGGGACTAAACAAGCATCTCCTGTGGTTTCTGTTTGCAAGAGCAAGACTACATTGCAAGATCCGTAAATAATAAGAATTGAAATGGCTTTAGTGACTAGCAAGGAGAGAAAATATCTGCTAGCTGTGTATGTTATCATACGTTATTGATTCCTGTTTTCTTTTCTTGCATTGTTGATTGAAAATAACTGGAGTTAGGCTGTGTATCTGAATATAGTACAGTGTCTAAGTGAGATTTATGTTATTAACCTACATGGTAAAATTCTTGGAAGCTTTATTAGTTAGTTAGTCATTAAGTATATGATCTTATTTTAGTGTTTTCTTTTTTTTTCATTCAGTGCACATAATAGATGAACTTCATTTATCACAAAGCTCTTCAGTATGCTCAGACACAGCTCTGATGGCAGAACTAGTGATTGTGTGTGTGTATGTGCGTGTGCTTTCTTTTTTTTTTTCCTCCTATGGTACTGATCACTGTGCTGGCATAGTGATCCATAAATGACTGACTTCTCAATGAACTTCTAAGTCAGATAGTGTTAATTCCATTTAATAGATGACAGTCAGAGGGTTAAGAAGTCTATAATTGAACTGCTTGAGCTGAAAGACCTGTGGGGCATTTTAATTTTTTTTTTTTACCCCCAGATCTGGATTTTTTTTTAGGAGTGGGAGTAGACCAAGTTAGAAATCCCAGCTCTCCCATATTGGGGTGCTAGATCTTCTTAAAGTAAACATCACTTTGAATTTGACTTCAGCGAAGTAGTGTACTTTTTACTATGCTTGTTCTTGGAAATGGTGGAACTGTTTGGCTGACAGAAATTTCAGACTGAAGTACTTTAGGCTGCAAGAAGTAACATATGAACGCCTCAAAATAGTCTGGTAATGAACAGTCTTGGCTATTTAACAAGCATAATTATCGGATTGTTTAAATAAACATCTTTTCTTCACTTGCTGTTGTTTAAGTAATGCATTACTTGGTCTGTTTATATTTAGTGTTTAACACATTTTTTTCCCTTCATTTATATAGGAACAATTGGACGTAGCACTCTCCAAAATATGCAAGAACTTCGATATCGGTCATTACACAAAGGTTCAGCAAGCTTACAGGCTGCTTGGAAAAACACAGGTTAGTACTCATCTTCTGAGTAAGTCACAAAGAACAGTGGTATAACAGCGTGAAGCTTTGAGTACTGTGATGGAAATTCATTTTCCCAATTGTCATGGTTTAACCCCAGCCGGTAACTAAGCGCCACACAGCTGCTCATTCACTCCCCCCGAGTGGGATGGGGGACAGAATTGGAAGAGTAAAAGTGAGAAAACTTGTGGGATGAGATAAAGACAGTTTAACAGGTAAAGCAAAAGCTGTGCGCTCACGCAAAGCAAAACAAGGAATTCATTCACTCCTTCCCGTCAGCAGGCAGGTGTTCAGCCATCTCCAGGAAAGCAGGGCTCCATCATGCATAACGGTTACTGGGGAAGACAAACGCCATCACTCCGAATGTCCCCCCTTCTTTCTTCTTCCCCCAGCTGTATATGCTGAGCATGGCGTTACATGGTGTGGAATATCCCTTTGGTCAGTGGGGTCAGCTGTCCTGGCTGTGTCCCCGCCCAACTTCTTGTGCGCCCCCAGCCTACTCGCTGGTGGGGTGAGAAGCAGAAAAGGCCTTGACTCTGTGTAAGCACTGCTCAGCAATAACTAAGACATCTCTGGGTTATCAACACTGTTTTCAGCACAAATCCAAAACATAGCCCCATACTAGCTACTATGAAGAAAATTAACTCTATCCCAGCCAAAACTGGCACACTAAAGCTGATGAATCTTGCTGAGTATGCAAAGGCTTTTATAATGCTCAGATAATTTAACAGTGCATTCTTTATTATGCTTGGGTGTTTTTAATGTTGTTTCCCAGTATGCAGAAGCATGTCTGACATTAGAATGCCATTTTTGGGTTTGTTTTTAAAGTTTTGTTTGGTTTATGTTTCTTTCTAATTAGAACCTTTCTAACAAATTTGGGTTCTTTTTCTGTGGCTTGACTGTGACAACAGTGTAGCTCTGCAGTGGGATAGCAAGGGATTTCTGTTCCCATACTTTGACAATGTGCAGAATTATTGGGGTGTGTAAAGACTGAAACTTAAAATCAGGGGAGAAGATCAATTAGACTTCTCCCTCATTAGTGCTTTGTGTGCAATTTTTTTATTTATTGAACAAAAGTAGATATAGTGCATTCACTGCTCCAAAGTCTAGTGCATGATATTTTGAGAAAGGCAGATTTTTTGTTGGAGAGGAGTGGAGTTTCTGAATAAAAACAAACATGTTATTTGTTACTGCACGGTTTTACCTGCTCTGTTCTCATGATAGAATGACTTGTTTTCGCCATTCTTTTTATTACTATTAAAGTATGTATTTTGAACTTGTCCTGAAAAGAATTTAGTTGCATCATTATTGAAATATCTCCCATTTTGATCTGTCCTCATTAAACAAAATGACAAGAACCTTCAGTGTCTTCAGTACTTTTCATGTTTTAACTTGTCATTCTGTTTTCTTTGACTAATTCGAGTTAGGACTAGTTGCAGAAGATCTGTTATTTGTGATGGGATTGAAGCAGAATTGCTTGTTCATTTCTTATGGGGGGGTAACTGAGTTCTCAGCTCTTGGCAGTAGCAAAGAATGTCAAATAACAAGTAGTGAAACTGACAGTTTTCAAATCTGCAGGATTCCAGAACTTCATTCTGGTTTATCAAATAATTTTTTTATCAATTCTTATATACCATATATACTGAGTATTAGCATATCTTGAAACAATGAGAAAATTCAGTGTCTGAAATGGACTAATGTTATGTACAGTTTATTAACAAAGGATCAGGAAAACAGCCTGATCTGAAACTTGGACACGATTATGGCAAAACTTGTATGTTATATAGCCATCAGTGTTTGGTACATGTACTGATATTTTCTTTTTTCTGAAAAAAGTAGGTTTTCTTAAACAAATATAATATTTTGTTTCTATTGCAAAGAGGGATTTTGTAAGGAATTTATTGACGTGATGTGCATGCCTTTCTGTAACACTTAATCCTACTTTATATTCGTTATGGAAGAACTCAGTTTGGCAGGTGGATGGATTGAAGACTGTAATTGTGGTTTTAGTTTTATTAATTGCAAAGAAAATATTTTTATTTTAGTTGGAAGTGTTTCCAGTGGGAAAAATAGCACTGATCTCAACATTCATCAATGATTGGGAGGGTAAATGGATGAATGAGTAAATTCTTTAATTAAATACATTATATACATGTAAAATTAGTATTTACTAGTGATAATGTAAAAAATCTGGTGAGTTATAGAGGGAAAATGGCAGGGGAAACCGATTCTACTGGTAATACCTGAACTCTTTTATGTTACCGTATTGTAATATTGCCAAGTCCTGTGTTAGGTATTTTTGAAATGAAGATTGGAGGCCATGCTTGCAATCTCCTGTGTTCAGTACTGAAAAAGACTTATATTAAAAGACTATGGCATATGACAAATTGAATTTTGCTATTTGATTTTATGTTATTCCTTTTCTTTCAGACAGCAATGGACCAGTTACATATGCATTTCACTCAAGCCATTCACAACACTGTGTTTCAAGTAGTCCTTGGATATGTGGAGCTGTGTGCAGGAAACACAGACACCAAGTTTCAGAAGTTACAGTACAAAGACCTCTGTACAGTATGTAATTCTTACATATATGTATGTTTTTTTAACCTGAATTTTTCCACTGTTGTAAGTGTACCTTATGTAAGTAGGGACTCAGTTATTAAAATAACCCTGCCGCTACTGCAGTTTCTTAGTACAACTCATAGGCTACTTGAGAGATCGGTTATTCACAACTTAATGCTGGTTTTGACTTCACTAAATCTTAGCACTTTGGAGTTGGTGTACACAACATCTAAATAAATGTAAGGAAGTAAGCTGTAGGATACAAACAGGATATCAAGATTTCAAAAATCCTAGGTCTTCAGTGTAATATGCTAGTTACGGGAATCACTATTAGCTTTGAACTTTATTTCAGTGTGTTTTGGCAGGATGCACAATTTCTGTAATACTCCATTTCAGTAAGGATTCTTGTAAAGATATTAACTTAATTAGAGTCTTCCCATTACTCCTAACTTTGTGTCATATTCATTGCACTTCCAGTATCAAGATAAGGGACAGCTGTAATACTGAGATGCAAAAGCCCGATCATAGGCAGATCATGGACTGGGCATAGCCATGTATTTTCCTCTGTTATAGATTTTAGACACAGTTTCTTGCATGTGTATATTTGGTAGGTTTTTTTTAAATGTTACTAGAATCAATTGCTGTATTTTGAATAGTATTTTTATTTCACTCTTTAATTCTTTCCCTTGTGATCTTACAGTTACACCCTGAGAAATTTTCTTAAACTTTGGTGGTGGGGAGAGAGTGTGAGATATTTTAGGTGGCTGTAACATTGATTTAAAACTTGAAATTATGTTTCTGTCTTGAATGTTCTTTGTTTCAGTCACAGACTAAGCCCTCATCATACTGCATCAACTCAAGGACCCACCCCATCAGTTGCAATTTATTAAATCAAAGTACAGTCACAAGGAGATTAAAGTTCATATTCTGATCCACTTCCTGCTCTTTCACTTCTCGGATCTCCTGGGATTGTGTAGCTTCAACTAGTAAACAACTCATCTGCGTTGAAAACCATTTCATTGTGAAGAGGTGCCCCTTTGACTTAAAAGGCTTACATAATGAGAGCCTTCATATGAGTGAAAGTGGATTAATAAAATTAATTTACTGGGAGTAATTGGCATAAGTATTAATGAACAGAATGAGCAAGGCTCCAGATAGGTTGTATTTGCACTTCACTGAGATGAATTCTAGTTGAAGAAAGCCAGCAAACCCTGATCTCTCTTCTCCAGACTGCAGCCCTTTTGTACTTCTGCTTTAAGTCTTCAGAAGGTGTTTTTGGTTTTGTTTCTTAGTTTCTAATGCACTTTTCTTCTGATTTTTTTTTTTTCTTTATACTTCTATGGTTATGTTGACATCACTGTTGCAGAAGCTGTTACTATATTTGAAGAGTTTTGTTGCAACTGTAATGCCAAGGCCTTTATATCACCTTGGATATACGTTTTTGGGTTAGCATGCAGTATCCACGTAAAAGCTAACTAGCATTGCGGAAATCAGCTGTGGAAACTGAAGTAGCAGTGGGAAAGTATGAACTGTTTTTTACAACAGTGTTAGCTTGAAGTGCTAATTTCCAGACTTCTCTGAGAACCTTTAAATAATAATGTAATTGAAATCACATTTGTGCAGATGGACTTTCTCCTTGTTTATAAGCTGTGAGACTGTGCTTCTTCACAGCAAGTGAGAGGAGGGTGACTTATTGCCACTCAGACAAGCAATGTATTTTACAGCCTTTTCTTTAGCCAGCAAGACCCCTTCTCAAATTCATCCCTTTACCTGACAATCTCATCTTGGATATTTCTACTGCATATCTATCTCTCTGATAAAATTGATACTCTTCGCCTAATGAATATCTTAAATCATAATGGCTCTTTAGAGCAGGGTGGATCGGGGAAGTAGGACAGCTGCCATCTAAGTCTGTTTGTTTGTTTTTAAACTACTTTATACAGCATTCAGTCCAATGGGACATCAGCCAGGATGGCTTCTGTGTACTACTGAAGTACAAGTATGTGTGTCATTGAACTGACGCAGTGTCTGCACGTCACAGGGGTGGCTGCATCCCTCTTTGGTGGTGAGATGTGCTGACCATTAGACTGTGTGACTTTACTTCTGTATCTACCTGCTGCTCCATAAATGTAAGAGGTAGTTAATATATGGGCTCATTGAAAAAAAAAAAAAGGTCTAACAAATAAACTTTGCACTTGTAGGCAGTATTTGATTAGTTGACTAAAATCAGGCATTCATTGGCTCTCAAATACTTTTGAAAAGGAAACTGATATACATCAAGCACCTCAGCTGTATGAATATGGAGGGTTTTGTGTCGTTTGTTTTGCCTCTGCAAAAAAGGAACACAATTGTTAAGTTTCACAATATTATTTTGTTTTCTGTAGCATATTACATCAGACAGCTACATTCCATGCCTTGCTGATCTCTGCAAAGCCCTCTGGGAAGTCATGCTCAGTTACTACCGAACGATGCAGTGGCATGAGAATCATGACCAAGATGAGGCTGCAGCTGTGTCTTCTGGTAAGAAACTGTTCTGGAAACAAAACTTCTGATATTTGGAAATAACTTTTCTTATGCTCAAGTTGTTAATTTGTGTGTCGGTATCTTTGTGGTCTTGACTCAGTGCCTTCAGCGTTATTGCTTATAGTGTGCAGTAAGGACTTAAATACTCACTGGATTTTTGTAGTCTTCAGTATAAGATTAATTTTTTAATGAATATGTGTATGTGCTGTTATTACAGATATAAACAGTTGTATTTCAGAGAGTGCTTATTGTTGAGTTGGAAGTCAGCTGTGGTAGATGACTACAAAATCTTGAGGATTTTTCCCTCTAATATAGGACCAATTTGAAATTGCAGATTTTTTGGTCAATGTTGAAATTTTCACTGCATATTAAGCTTGGTAGATTGGGATACTGGATTGCATACTAGGAAAGGTGACTGAAACAATAAGGAATTAATCTGTTTTAAATCTGTTGCTGTGATTTTCATGAAATCCAATTTCCTGAATGTTGTATGTCATCTATACTAGTAAATCCATCATAAGATATGGTCACAATTTCCTTGATAACCTCACAAGAAAAGGCAAACACTTCACCTTAATGTATAATTTTGGTTTTCTTTTATTGTTGTTTCAGTTTATATTTTTTAGGACAGAAGCACAAAACCTTCATCTCTTGTCTAAGTCCTCCTAAGTACATTTTGCTGGATGTATTCTAAATTAATATAAAATGTCTGAAGACAGACTTTATTTCTCCACTAACCCAAGACACTTGTGTTTGGCAGAGGGCAGAGCATGAAATTTACAGTATTAAGATTTATGCAAAACTCCTGTTTGTTTGAATCGGGTAGGATTGCTCATTTCTTACTGAAAAAGGAGTCTTCTGTCAAAGGGCAAGGATTGTAGGATTGCTGCTAAAGTTATTCTTCCTTGCCTGATTTGCATAAAACTTGTATCCTTTATGTTAGATGATGAGAAGAAAGGGAAACAAAAATTGGAAATAGAAGTAAAGAACAGGTCTTGGAACAGTGTGCTTCATACATTTGGAAATCAAAAGTTAGACTTATTACAGATTCTAAGTCTTAAAAAGAATGAAATTTATGCTAATTAACATTGTCTTCCTACTTTAAATTTGAAAAATTAATGAAAATATTTTCTTCGGAGTGTCCTTTCCATATTGTGTGGAATCTTAAAAAAAAAATTAAAGAAAAGTGGATTTGTTGAAAATTATTTCAGATGAAAGTTTTTATAAGTATATCAATTAAAATTCAGAGTTTAAATATTTAATTTGGAGATGCACCATGTGAAGAAAAAGTCTGAATTTTTGAGTGAATTGCCCATTCTCAATAATAATTACAGTTAAATTTAAAATACCTTCAGATAATTACATTTCCTTCTCTTGTTTTCATTTTGGTGTGATCTTTGCATGTGTCAAATAAAACACGTGTCATAAAGAGTGTATTGCATGGTAACATTATCACAGTAGACTACTTGCTCAGCTCCAGATGTAATTTTAAAAATAGTTCCCCTTAGTGTGGTTACTTGTGATATCCTGAAGAAAATCATTTGCACTGGAAAACCTTTTAAAGGAACCATTAAGCCTAATAACGTGGTATATTCAGTCACATGAGTAATTTAAAATGTGTTGCTTTTTAAACACGTGCCAGAGTGTTCTGGTATGTTTACTACTAATCCACTAAATCTTCTGTCACTCAGTTTTTAAATTTCTGGAGACATTAGGGCTTAGCTGTAATGTACAACTAGAATATATTTGAGCTACTGAATCACTTTTTCAAATACCTTAGCAACGATAAAGCACACAAAAGGGAATTTCACAAGTATAATTTAATTTCAGAGGGACTATAAATATCTACCAAATGTCTGTGTTTTCTAGAGACATTGCTCATGCTGTGGTAATTATTAAACCTGTACATGGAAGTCTCATTCCATATTTATTGATTTAGTAACTGTGATATGTGCTAAAGCCAAAGAGTGAAATTCCTGTAGAAAGGGCAGGTATGTCCGCAGGAACCATGGAGGCAGTTCAGGAGATTATGCTAAAATTGTTCCCTCAATTAAACCCCATAGACTGGAGCAATAGAAGGAGCAGTCTTAACTGTATGTGTATCTGGCTTTTATAATTTTGAGAACTCAAAGCTGTCCCAGCATTTTTCTCCTGTTGTGCCAGTTAATGTCAGCAGTCTTACAAAGTACCTTAAATGGGTCAAGGCACTCTTGATCTTAGGGCACAAACTCAGCTGCAGAAGTGAGAAGCTAGATGTAGAAGACATGAATTACATAGCTCTTTCTGTTTTAGTAGTGAAGCTTATCCAAAAGACGACCTGCATGGATTATGGACAGGGGGTTGCACTTCATCTAGATCATGTGTCACATATTTGTGATTATTAATGCCTGTTACAGATGTTAAAATGTACTTTGCATAACCTGTAAATAATTACCCTTCAGCATTTCTGAGGAAAGAGGTGTGTTTGCTTTATATCGTTAAATAGTCTGCTTATTTGTAAAGTAGTTAAAGTAGTCTAGTTTGAAGAGCAAAATGGGATAGAAAATACTTTCACAACAGGGGATTTTTTGTTTGGAACATTTATAGGAATTACTCTTTGAGACTGAGGCTTTTTTATTTTTTTTTTTTCCCCTAGAATTGAGCTCAGAATTTGCAGTTGTTCTTTCAGTTATAGTGTGGACTGGTCTTTGGGGATTACTTTTTTAAAATCAATTAAAAAAACCTCTTACTTGGAATAAACTAAATGGAAACATAATTATCTCTAGATATAAATGCAATCCTAAAAATTTTTAAAACGTGACATATTTTAGTACCTTTCACGAAACAGGAGATGCTGGTGAGCTTTAGTTTGCTGAAGTGTTATAACAGAGTTGCAGTGAATCATAGTGAAATGCATGGTATTGATAGTTCTATGAATCATCAATAATAACCCTTAACTAATTGCTCTAATTTACTGTTAGAAAGGTAGAATTAAGTGTTCATATGTAGGACTGGTTTAATTGTACTGAGGATAAAATTATTGAACTAAAAATATCAACTCCATAGCATGAAATGAGTTCTATGTCATATTTAATGAACTGCTACTTATTCTGTGATTTTGTTGGTTGTACAGTAAACAGCAAATTGCTGTGATACAGGTTTTCATCCCTGAAAATAGACTGCTTACTTGAAAATTTTCCATTACACTGTTGGTAATGGTCAAAGCATTGTTTGTGTTTGTAGTGTAGAATCAAAGAAAAAAATTAGTTTTAAAGGGACGTGTGTAGGTCATTTTGTCTTTCCTGCTCAAAGCAAAGTGAACTTCAAAGTCACATTGGTTTGTGCGAGGTCCTGTCTGGTTCAGCTGGGTTTTCACATAGTGTAAAATTCACTGTGATGTTGATGTAATTCACCTGTATTCTTGAGACACTACTTTAGCAGAAGAACTGAAACTGAGCAGTAAAATGATCACTATGGCATTCAAACTCCTGATTTCACAAGCACAATCCTAGCTGTAAAAGTTGGTAACAACTGTAGTGCTGTAATAGATTCAATGAAAAGCAAGAAGAAAATTATGTAAGATGTAAATTTAATTTCAATCATTTTATTTTTCAAAACATTCAATTTATAATACTGCGTAAATTCTGTGCAAGACCTGCTTGGTATTCAAAGAATGAAGCTAGAGGAGTGATTTGATTAATTTCTTGTGGTTATCGTTCCCCCCGCCCCCAGGGAGGATTAAACAAAACCCTTTTGTTATGACTGAAGGCTGCCTTTACGAATTTTGGAGAAATACTGAGCATCTGAAAAATTACTGTATTTAAATCAGGCATCTAGAAGAGTAGCTCCTGGATGCTTCTCATTCTTATTTTTATGTGAAATTATGAATATTTATGTATTCTGCTAGCTGTTCCAAATTCTTCAAAGCAAAAGGTGTAAATGCTTTGTCCAGTCCTTGATTTTCAAGGAAACGATCCTAAATTCATACGTTTGTATGTGTGAAATTAGCTGCAGTACAGTTCACTAAAAGCCTGGAAACAAGACCTCTTAGCATGACTGGCCATAAACCAGGAGCACTGGGAGATCGCCAGAGAGAATATTGCATGGATTTTTATTGAACAATAGCATTCATATGACTCTGTCCAACCATTCCTTCATAAATGGCAGTTCATGAGGACGAGGACTATGGTCTCAATCTTGAGAATAGGTCAAAGATACTGACTTGTTTAGGCTTGGCTTCGCTCTGCAGAAGTGTAGAAGAGAGGAGGTTGCGGAATCTTCTAAAGAGCGTGCTGTGACCAAGATAGCTGGGTTTGTTTACTCATATAGTCAGAGAAAGGATAAATCCGCTTAGTGTTTCTCTAGTTGGGTTATTCTTTCTTTTTATTTTGTTTAGTCTTCCATGAGAAATCACTTTTGAAAATGCATTTGTCAGAATTATTGCTTTCAGGAGAAGAGGAGCATATTTAGGTACAGTTACTAAGTTATAATTTATGTATACAGTACCTAATATTTGTTTTATGATTTTTCTTTCATAAGGAAAATTATCTCTGAGTGCTCTGCCACAGTAGATACAGTATGGAATTATGTTTGAGTCTTGTTTTCACATCAAGCAGGCTTTTATCTTCTGATTTTGAGTAATTAGGGTAAATTCTCAGTCTACTTGTAAAAGCAGTCTCAATGACTTTAAACAGGAAAGAGTTGAACACAGCTTTGCAGCCTTGGAAGAAAGGAATATCTATCTTTAATATAAGCCTGAATTCCAGAATATATTTTATTATGTTTTCAGTTGTGAGGAAGAGTTACTGAATTGAAAGTACTAGAGATTTTACATTCTGGTTGCATACAGTATTGTACTGGTTCTGTATTCTTGATGTCTAGCCTCATGGGCAGACTAATACTAGCTTAACTGGGTTGAAGATTCTTCTTGGTAGTGTTCATATGTTCACAATCATAATCCCTAACTTGCAGATGAAGCTCCCTCAGAGTTTGATAAAGATCATATTTTAATAACATGTCCAGACATGCCAAATAGCTCCACTTGAAAGAAATTAAGCAAGGCCAGCATCCTTCTCAGTAACCATATTCCCCACATTTAGTAATTTAAATGGAGCTACAGGTGCTGAAGGCTTCATATTTTTGTTGTTCCTATCATGCTTATATATTATATAAGCATTCATATAATAGGTAATATATTCTGTATATTTAGAATAAATTTTATTTCTTCTATTTACATGGGAAATGCAAATAGTTCTTGTTCTGAGAAACATACTTTGAAAAAGTTCAAAGCAGAAAACAGAGGGATGATGGGGAGAGTGAAGATGCATATCATGTTTGTCTACTTACAGAGAGTCTGGCCTAGGGCTGGGGGTATGAGACACTGGTAAGTGCTAATTAGGATTAGTGATTGTTACAGAAGGAAACTCTGCTCACTTGACAGTGAGCACCGGATGATCTGAAGAACATATGGTCAGAACATGGTCAGACTCTGCTGTGCTCTTTTGTTTTTTGGTTTAGTTCATTTCTCAGTATCTGATACCAGTCATAACCATTCTTGTTCCGTGGATGACCCTTTCCTTCCTCCTCTTAAATACACAGTAGTCCAGATGATGCTGCGGAGGGCTGTTCTGCACGCATCTGAAAAGGTTGATTAAAGTCTTGTATCCAGCCTCCCATTCCTTACTGGGCTCATTAGTAAGTGCTCATGGTATTTACACAATATTCATCTAGACTGCATGGTCTGGATTCAGGGCAAGGCTTGACATGGAAAGAGCACTCTTGTTGACAAAAAAAATTCTTGGCGCTGGCAAATGGAGTGCAGATGTAGGTTCTTTATGGTTCTGGACTCTTCTACATTAGACAGCAAAATTAGACATGAAATATTGCTACTGTCTCTGAGGAAAGTGAAATTAATCCAGGAGGCTTTCTGGAAAAAGCCATGAAGCCTAGTAATGAAGAACTGCAAAGGTCAGTCAGGAGTAGCTCTCACTGTGGTCCTGGTAGCATGTTACCATCTAAGGAGCACTACTGTGGCAGGGATTCAGTATGCAGGTGGCGTTTTTGTCCTTGCTAGTTTTGAATGACCGTGTAAAATCCTGTCCCTGCATTGATGAGATCAGCTCATGAATGAAAAGCTGATGGAGCTGCACCTGAGCTGTCTGGCAGCATCATGCAGTTTAACAGCTGAACGTGCTTCACAGCCTTAGTGATGTCTCCCTGGGTGGAAACTGTGTGTAATCCCACTGAGGCAGTTCAGTCCGTGGCCTTGGATCGCTCTCAGATTCCTTGGTGAGGCTAGAAATACTTTTTTTTCCTTCCCTCCACCCCCCAATAATGTGTTCCACAAGTTAGGGCTGGCCAAGACACTAGTGCCAGTTGTTCAGGAGCTGTTAAGTGTTCTACTCTTTCCTTTACCTTCCTGTTTGCATTATAGCAGTGATGTATCTACCTGGTCATTAAGTCCCACAGGTTAAAAAAAGAGTCCATCTTTCAAGAATGTAATCTAAGTCAAGGACATTAGACATGCCCTAGTCTGTTAGACATGTCCTGTTTCTCTCCCGGTAGGCCCAAGTTACAGATAGGGACTGTCCCATGATATCCTAAGAAACTTACTTCCCCCCACCCCCCGCAGTTCCCTCTCTGGGTTGTGGGCTTTGTGCTGCCTGTTCCTGTGAAGCCAAGGCGACAGAGATGAGACTGCCTGATACGCGTGCAAAATGATGGCTTAGGGCTAGGTGGAGGTTTTTGAGAGGAAATGCTGGAATTGGGGAAAGAAATAGCTTTGAGATAGGAGCCTGTGTGTGGAGGTAGATGAGACTAGCTGGGCCAGGAGCAAGGGATTGAATAGTCTTCTCCAAGTACTGAAAACTAGCTGGAGGTTGCAGAAAAGATGGAAAGACAGGTCTGAGCTGCATGGCAATGCTGGGGTACTACAGGCAATCTTAATTCTTCTGTGTGTGCAGCCCCTTCAATAATGGGGTGGAAGGAGGGCTGTACGCTTCATAATATTCCAGTGTAATATTTTATGTGAATTATTATCTTTCATGTCAAATCACTAAATGGTTTGGGCTTTAAAGGACATGCATAGTTTTTCTCCGTATCAGGAACAGCAGAGTTTTCTTATCATGGGGAAAGTTTGTATGTATAGTCTGGCTAAGACAGAGCTTTCCTGTGGTCAGTCGTAGGCTGTGAAGCAAATTGCACGACACTGTGCCATCACAGACTGCAAGTGTAACCACAGCTGTACGCTCACAAACTTACATATAAAATATTACCTTCTCTTTTTTAAAATGGAAATAAAATATATTTCCTCCATGGGGAGAGGGAACGCCACATACAGGAGAAGTTTACCGTGCATTACAGTGCTTTTTTGGAAAGTGATCCAGTGCTGTGGGAATGAAGGTTTTAGAATTGAATCACAGAACGGTTTGGTTTGGAAGGGACCTTCAAAGATGATCTAGTCCAATCCCCCTGCCATAGGCAGGGACATCTTTCACTAGGGCAGGTTGCTCAAAGCCCCATCCAACCTGACCTTGAACACTTCCAATGATGGGGCATCCACAACTTCTCTGGGCAGCCTGTTAACCTGTTCCACCATCTTGCCACCCTCACAGTAAAAAAAATCCTTCCCTATGTCCGATCTAAATCTACCCTCTTTCAGTTTAAAACCACTTCCCCTTGTCCTGTCACTACAGGCCCTGCTAAAAAGTCTGTCTCCATCTTTCTTATGATCCCCCTTTATATACTGAAAGGCTGCAATCAGGTCTCCCCCGGAGCCTTCCCTTCTCCAGGCTGAAAAACACCAACTCTCTCAGCCTTTCTTCATAGGAGAGGGGTTCCAGCCCTCTGACCGTTGTTGTGGCCTCCTCTGGACCCGCTCTAACAGTTCCATGTCTTTCTTGTACTGTAGGCCCCAGAATTATTTTGGGACAATATAAAAACAAAGATTCCTTTTTCATAACTAAATGCACCTTCACATGAACTCTCTGCATCCTTTTGAGTATTTACATGATGAAAAAAGGCAAATACAGCTATGTATCTAGACGCTTAAGCTAACTTCCGACAAGAGGAATGGGAACAGTTTTGGGGAGGGAGCTAATGATACACTCAAATTGCCATAAAAGCATAGAACTATTTTTGTTAACCCAAGTTCACCAAATTTTTTTTCTTTCTTTCCCCCTTACCTCTCCCTACAGCATGTTCCAATTTGTTATCAATAGTTTCTCATTAGTTGGCAGTTCCCAGACTTATCAAATAAAATAATTTGGAAGAATGAAAGACACCTGATTATATGATTGACAGTATTTCATGCATAAGCGTATATTAGTATGAGAGAGGGAAAAAAAACAAAGAGCATGCTATATTGTTTGCATAGTTCATGGAAAAAGTTTCAGTATTTTTCCTCAGAGTTGCAGACAGAATTTACTGGGGCAGAAAGTTAAAAATCTTGCTTCTGAAATTTTTAAGTTCATGATTCTTGTCTACAAAGATGGAATATCTTAGAGAATCTTGTTGTAGAGAATAAGCAGTGCTCACTTCAGCATTCAGCTTTATCTTTTGTATTTGAAATACCAGTTTCTGTTACTGTCTTTTTTTTTTTTTTTTTAATTTTTATTGAACGGGGTATCTTGCTTACATAAAAGCAATCAGAAGCTCTCGTGGTCTGGACTAGAATATAATATTTATGTACTTAATTCATTTCCTTTCAAAAGTTTAGAGCAATGGAGCTCTTCTGGAGTTTGCATAATGGATAATATGATAATGACTAAGGCAGAAATTTCATTATGGATAGAAAACTAGGATACATTTCAAGGCTTTTGGAAATATCTACAATACCTTTCACGTTCAGTTTCAGATGGCAGCAATGTGATTGGAACTGAAGAGAACAGTTTTGACCGCAGCTATGTAAAGAAGAAATTGGAACATGGGCTTTCAAGAATATGGCAGGTATATGTTTTGATTTTTTTCCTAAATATTTATCACCACACACCCACCCCACCCCCCAGTATTAATTACAGTTATATTTATACTCATCTTAAAAGAATCTCTCCAGGGACTGTTTCTTAAGTGATTTGTTTTGAGCTAAATATATCAAAACCATGGAAATATAATTTCCATGACTCAGTTACTATTTGGTCGCTATGCTTACAACCTCAGGCAAGATACTAGAACATAGTAACACGACTTTCAGCCTGATTCCATTTCTCCCAACCTGTGTGCTGCCCCACAATCTATTTTCTTCTCATGTGCTTTTCTCTGTTAGCACAGTCATACTGCTTTATGTTTCTGGTGTAACCATAGCTATGGAGAACCTGAAGTCTTTGTGGACCTGCCTGATTTCACAACTGCTGGATCAGTTTGATGTGCAGTGAGACCCCATATGTATGATGAAAAAGCTGTAAACCTTTTACATGGTTGAACTCTGTTTTTGTGACCTTGTGTTAATAGAGTGTTAAAGAAACTGATTATAACATTATTTTAGAAAGTCAATGAGAAATCATTCATTTTACAAAAAATGGAGTTCTACTCTAAATCTCAAAAAGAAGTTATAAGTGCAAACAAACCAAAAAGCACTAATGAACTCATAGTGCTCGGCATCTGAGCCTTCACCTTTTTGTCTTTAGTGTATTAAGTATACAAAAAATTGTTTGTGTTTTGTAGGATGTTCAACTGAAAGTGAAAACGTATCTTCTGGGAACAGATCTGTCTAACTTCAAATATGACGACTTCATATTTGTACTTGATGTTATCAGCAGGTATATTGATGTGGTCATAAGACCACTTAATACATGTACACAAACTTGAACTCTGATAAGACAGCACAGTTAATTAAGGCTTATATTTACATTCTGATGCCAACTTCGTTCCTATATACTGATAGTTTGAAGAGCACTTCTTTACGTGGGAGTTTATGAGGATGTACTTGGGACAGGTAGCATAAATTGCTTTGCCGCTCAAGTAGGGCTTAAGTGCGATATGATTTGAGTGTTGTCCACCTTTAAGATTTCAGACGTGCAGATCTGACAAATTTTGATGTTTCTAAAAGCTTTTAAAGGGACTCTTGGTCAAGAGTAGTAAAATACTGTGGTACTGCTAACGTGTACAGTAACATGTCCTTCTGTTTTGGTAATAAAAGGATGGATTCAGACTGTGAGCTGTACAGCTTGCCCTGCATAATGGGATCTCAAAAAGACATTCATTTTGCTTATGGCTCTTTGTCTCTATGTGTATGGGACATTATGATAGGATTTGGAGGGAAATGACACATGGATTTTTGTGGAATGAGTGAAGTGTTTGAAACTTAACATTGGTGCTCTGCTTTTATGGAGATGCATCGACACTGGTGGTAAAGATTAAGGGTTGTAATTCAGGTTGGAACACCAGTATTAATAAATCAATAAATATTTCTAAACTTTGTTTTATTGTTGTAGACTGATGCAAGTTGGAGAAGAATTTTGTGGCAGTAAGTCTGAAGTTTTGCAAGAATCTATCAGAAGACAAAGTGTTAACTACTTCAAAACATACCACAGGTGAGACTACTGTATGTGCAGTGGATGAATCTAATGAAATTTATTTTTGTTTCGTTTAACTTTAAATGCTTTCCAAAGGAATTCCACGGCATAATGTTTCTGCATTGAGGTTGACAGATAGTGGAATATGTTTCATGATGAGAATAGGGCTCTGAACCATGGAGAAAGGGAGAGGGGGGAGAAGCCTTTGCTTCTGCTATGGTTGTGGAAAACTCTAGTTCTGCAGCAGGCAAGACAAATAAAGATGAAAATCTTTTTATGTAGAATTTCAGTAGTTTTTCAGGCTGCCTCTTAAGCTGTCTCCTGGGATCCTGAGGATGAATGCCTCTGAAGTCCATACTTCCTAGCAAAATTGTTACTTCTTTTTCTATGCCATTACATAAAAAGAGCTGATCATGTGTGGCTATGAAATGTTTTTTTTCAATATGCAGTTTTGTCTTATATCAAATGAGATGTTTAGAACTGAGTCCATACTTTTGAGTCATATTTTCATATTTTTTTCATTGGCAGTATCTAATCTTGTTTCAGTCAACTCTACTATCATATCTGAGGCCTGTCATATGTGCTGCCATGTGCAGGCAGTCTCTGGCCTCAGATATGATATATGGCTATGATAGCTTCAGGACTTGTCTGTTTTAGTTGTCGTGATTTCCCAAATGTTTTGGCTTGGATGATTGATAACTCTTTCATTCTAGTTATCTAGCACTTATCTTCTTTCTGGGTGTAAAAAGCTAGGAGGCTATGAGAAATACAGCGTTCCTTGCTCTAAGAAACTCTTACTTTCCCAGTCTTTATCTGTTGTCCTCTGTTGTATGGGAGCTGTCATACAACTAATACATCCAAACCCATTTGGTCTGAGACTTTTTGCCTGAAATCCATAAAGTATGAAAATTATGACAGGAGAACACGAGAAAGGGTCTGAATTCAGAAGCTGAGTATGTGGTTTGGAATTTCTTCCAGCTTTTGTAGTTTGTAGCTAAGATTTCTTTCTGGACATCTGATGAAGACCTCCATTCCAGTTGCCTGAAAAGCTTGAGCCTTAATGAGGTGCACATTATGTCTTGTCAGGAGATGAGTTGATTAAGATGCCATGCCACCTGTCTTTATTTCTTGAAAGCATTTCTGAACCCTGAACTGAATTTCATGAACTGATTTGGAAACTGAGCTTGCAGCTCTAGATTCAGAAGAGCTGTTTTGGTCTATGTAACCGTCTTTTACTGCACTGACTTACCACTTAATACCTTATTTGGTTAAGTAAATATCGTTCTGACCGTTATGGTTTTGCTTATGTTTAAAGGACCTGTTAACAGCTTAGGGAATCAGAGACTAAATTTCTGAATTATGAGTAAAATAAAGGTTAAGGAACATTGATGGAATATGTATAGAAATAATCTTTTTTTAAAATAACTTGTGTTTTTTGTTAAGGTAATGTTTCTTGTAATTCTTGTGAAAATAAAAGGAAATACTTATTGATATGACTCAAAATATGGGAATCTTTTAATACTTTTTACATGTTTTATGCTGTGTGGGTATTGTGAAGATCAATTGGCTGATGTTTTCACCCTCAGAAGGAAAAATATAAAAAACTCTCTCCAAGCTATATCCCTCAGGTTGATTTATATAAAAGCTTTAAGCTTCTTGCCTTTTCAGATCAAACTGATGTGGCTTTCACTCCCCTTGTGTATTTAATTGGAGAGGGAAAAAAAAAAAAAAGCTAGTGCCTTTAAGGATTCATTAGTACATAAAAGCTACATAGAGCTGAAATGCTTAGAGTCCAGGAGTAATCAGTTCTTTGATTGTGTAATTTGACATATGTGGCCTCCTGGGCATTGTGGTGTTTTAGAGAACTGCCAACATAGAGAAAGCATTCAAAGGAACTGGTCACGTCATTCAAAAAGCATAGAAGACCTATGTAATACTAGAGCATATGTGAAGCCTTTTTTGGGTAAAAGTTGGTTATTTTGAAAAAATCAGAATGGGCTTTTGGCAGAGGACATCAGTAAGCCGATTTTTGGAATGCAATTTACTTTTTGTTCTGATATGTTTGTAAAAAGCTGTGTCTGATCACTAAACCTTTTCAGAGGACAAATGCATCAGACCTTCCAGGTGTGCTACTTTCTAGATTTATATGCTGGTGAAAATGAAGAGCATTTGTTCAAGTACTTTGTCAGTGCCTGGATTTCAGCTTTGAAATGATACAAAAACTGGTGCTGTGTGGCTTTTAAATGTTTGCTTTTCCAGGACTCCTTCTCCTAAGTCTTCCTCTCAAATAATTTTAATTTGTAACGCTGATTTTCACAGCATTTCTATCTGTTGTTTCTGTTGGCTTTACTGCAAGAAGATCTGCAAGCTACGGGTATTCAGTGCCTTGAAAATAGCACTTGAAGTCTATTTGCATTTAACTGGTGAATTTAAATAGACACAGCAAACTGTAGTCGTAATTCAACACATTGCTCATCTCGTTGAGGCAAGAAAATTTTAATTGTAGTGGTGATTATAGTTTGTTATTGAAATAGTGGTATTTCTAGAATATTTTACTACCGAATTAGAAACCCAGTGCATAATTTACCAGCTGCTACTTGTTAAGCAAAACAATATACCATATATTAAGAAGAAAAGATACAGCAATGTGACCTCAGTAAGCACTCATTGCTGTCTTTTCCTATATGAGTTCCTGGTTATGTGGCAAAAAGATTTTCTTTATTAAAGGTAATTCTGCTTATGGGGGAACAGAGGCTCTAATGGTTAAAAACGTAACAGAAACAATGCAGAGATGTAATGGCTTGATTACATTTCCCTAAGGCGTTTTCTGTATTAGTACCAAGGTAAAGTTAAGCTATGAAGAAAAATACAGCTTAGGAGATTAATAGCCATTTAACTTTTTTCTTCTCTGAAAAGTTAGGATGTCTGTAGAGCATTAGTTCTTTCCACTTCCCTTTGCTACCTGTTGGCTTCAGTGTGTTTGAAAGAAGCATCTATCTTGTGTGGCCTCACAGAAGCGTTGTACTGCTATTAGAGTGTTGTGTATATTATATTGCTTTCTCCAGTTTACATAGCGGAAAAAAGGTCCAGTATTACTGCATAATCATAGGTGTCCTTCTACACTTTCTAATGTTTTTGACAAAAAAAACCTGTTTGCAAATTTTGGAGATTGACAGGCTTTGAGAATTTCTACAGAAGTGTCATAAAACATACACTGTGTTAGTAGCCACAGTTTTATGTTGGTCTGTCAGTTGAAAGAATGAGTTAAATATCTGTTTTCAAGTATGACTTTTTATACAGTTTTTGAAGGTGTTTTTCACTGCATAAATTAAATAACTGTCTACTGTCTGATTTACTCTTGCTGCCAATTAAGAGTAGTCATTTGTTGTATTTCAGAACCCGTCTTGAAGAATTAAGAATGTTTTTGGAGAATGAGACCTGGGAACTTTGTCCTGTTAAATCAAGCTTTAGTATTCTGCAGCTTCACGTACGTTCTATGAATAACACATATAAATGTATTAATACTTTAATAGCTAAGCGTCCAGGTGTTCTGAGAAGTAGTAAGATCCATGAACTACTGTGCAAATGTTTTTAATGGCTGCTAAAACCACCTAAATTTCACTTCATGATGTTGGAAATTTAAGATTCAAATGCTTTTAAAACACTAGTGTTCCTGTTTCAGGCAGGTAGAGGTTTACAGAAGATGCTAGAGTTGTAAGCATAATGCTTGTTTTTCATGTTTTAATATGCTGTTAATATGTCAGTTTTCCATTTCTAAATTATTTATCTGAGAGTAAGGTGCTAAAAGATGAGTGCCTAAAAGTAGTCACATTTAGCTCATTAGCTTGTACCAATTTTTGGCATCTGTTTCTGGAAACATAGGTCATACTGGCTCACTTGGAAAGGGAAAAAAAAAGTCAGCTTTACTAAATTACTAGGTAACTTGTCTAAAGAAAACTATATTTTTGGATAGAAGTTAGGTCTTGTTTTATCTCCTAATTTCTGTGAAATAAAAAACCCACTTAATTTTCACTTGGTGTTAGACGGCAAATACTTTCAGAATGAAGGAAATGTATTGCATGTCATAGCCAAAAACTGCTAAAATGAGAAAGACAAGCAGTATAAGATTGCCAATTTCAAGGTTAACTTGAGCCAGCATGAAAAGCGTGTTGAAATAAGCAGCAAGCTTTGGCTAAAAGTTTACATATCAGGTTAATTGTCCAGAAGTTTGTTGTTATGCTCTGTTTTTAAGGAACTGGAGTCATAATAATACTGGAACTGTCTTGTTGGTGATTAAAATTGTACTTTATTTCTATCAATAGGAGTTTAAGTTCATGGAGCAGTCACGTTCCCCATCTGTGTCGCCTAGTAAGCAGCCTGCTTCAGCAATTTCAACAACAGTAACGTTATTTGAGCAGTACTGTAACGGAGGAAACCCATTTGAAATTCAGGCCGACAGCAAAGATGATGAGACAGAAGATGTGTTAGCTTCCAATGGGGTATGGAGTGTTTCAGGAGAAAAAAAAAAAAAAAAAGCAAAGCAAATCTTGCTCTCAGTAAATGATGATTTATTTTGTGTATCAATGATGGCAAAAAGTCTTAGTACAAGGATCAGTTAACTGCAGTACTGTGTAAAATATCAATCCACTTTACTCATTTTATTACGTAGGTTGCTTTGGTTTTAACAGTGCCAGAAAGCCAGGCATCCTGTTTAAAGTTCAGTTTGTTTTGCAGTGAATCAATATTTTTTTCCACTGAAGTCAAGTGTTCCTGAAGGCTAGCAAGACATGTTCCACTTAAACCCCTGGAAAAACACTAATTTGTTAGCCTTCTTTGTGGAAGTAATTTTGTCATTTTAGGACTGGCTTTCTGGCTTCTTAGGGAAGAATCATTGTGGGTTGCTCCTTCCGTTGCATTTGTTCACACCTACGTGATTTGCCATGGATTATCTGATGTTTATTAGGCAGGTTTTAATTGTAATTTAAATGCTCAGGACACTCGCTTTACAGTGGGATATAGTATAAAACTGAACAATAACTTTGTGTATTTTTTTTTTTTTAATTCTGTCAAAATCTGGCAGTGGTCAAATATGTTTTACTTTAAAACTTTGTACTCTTCTCTTAAATGCTATATTAGCATCTCTTTGTTAAAGCTTTTGCTCTTGTTTGATAAATAATGTTTCCTTGGGCTTTTTTTTTTTTTTTTGTGGTAAGGTTGGGTTTAAGGTTTGTTTAAGATTAGTTAATCCAGTTTGTCACACTAATGGCTTTCTGGTTTTTAACTTCATCTTTCTTGCTTTCCCTGTGGAACTTCAGTTACAAAGCAGCTTGATCTGTATCTCACACACCTGAGTGCGATGCTGCAGTGTCTGTCTTTCTGTGGGCAATGCTGCAGTCTTTTTCCTACTGTGTCACTTGAAGAGAAAATACAGTTGATTGGCATAAAACATTGTTGCATTGTGCTTAAAGGAAGCTGCTGGAGAGCTAGTTTCCTGGTGGTAGTTCTTCCACTGTCAAAGTAATACAGCAGAACATATATCCTGCCTTTTCATATCAGTAAACTGAGAAGAGTCGCATGGTTATCACTGTTAGACTTATATGGAGACTACAAATGAGTGTGTTAAGCAAAGACAAATGCGCTGCAGGGCATGCTGAAAACTGCAGAATTCCATGGTGATTTGTTGAAACTCACTCTGAAACAAACCTTTTGGGGAAACTGGTCAGCTATTTGGTAGATATTTGCTAAAATGATCCTTAGTGAAATAAGAATGAATGATGATACCAGTAGTACTTTTGAGATTTTCAAAATGAAAGCTCCCACTACTGAAGAGTTCATTTCAGACTTTTGTATATGTTTGTGAGTAGTTTTGCTTTTTAAAAGATTTTTCTGAACAAAAGGGACTAGAAAATTAACTTAACTCTGGGTTTTTTGTTTGGGTTCTCCCCGCCCCCCACCAAGACAGCTTTCTTCTGAAGGTTGGCTCTGTAACAAATGTATAGAGCCATCAGGACCTGCACTGTGAGTGCAGAAATACATCTCAAATATTGCAGGATATTTTTTGCCACCATTTGCTTGTAGAATAATTAAGAAGGTGTGAAATTATTTTCCAGAGATTATATCAACTGGAGCTACTGAGACTGGATAACATCTCAAGAACAAAAAAGAATAATTGTTGGAACACGATTTCAATCTCTTCTGATTTCCTGCAGGTCGCTGCTAGCAAATGAGTGCATGCGCTGTCCCCATATTTTTGTGCAGTGATTTGTAAGCAGAATACGTACACTGGTAGAAGGCTAGAATTGTCTTAATTTCTTGACTGTGGATATATTGAGGAATTTTTCTTTCTATCTGCACACTTGTATGAGGTATGAAAACTTTGAACACAAGTTAGAACAGAGCTGCTTTGTTTTTTCCAGTTTTAACATTTTACCCTTGAGAATCTGTTTCTCCTAGCTCATGTAAAATTTAAATGACATCAATATCCTCTGCACTAAGCTTTTGCTTCTATAATCATAAAATCATTTGATGAAAAAATCAGGCAGCAAATGCTGATGAACATGTTGGTGATACTGTTTGGTTGGCTTTTGCCAGCCTGAAGCATCATACTGCTGCCAAGCAGACTGCTATAAGTAATACCTTCTTCTGTCTTCAGTTGTATATTTTTTTTCCCCTTTTTTCCAGTGATGAACCTATTCAGAGAAGTAATAGAGCTGAAAAGCAAAAAAAAAAAAAAAAAAAAAAAGTGGGAACCTATTCAAAGAAGAAAAAGAGCTGAAAAAAAAAAAAAAAAAAAAAAAAAAGCTTCAGCTTTCTGTACAAATACAGTATTTCAAGTACAAACTCTGCATGTAGTGATAGTTACACAGGAATTATCGTATTACGTGAGACCAGTGGTGGCTCTCTTACAGCATCCTGCTTCTGTTAGTGGTTAGCACAGACACTGCGGGCTCATGAGAGGTAATCAGTCCTGGAAGTCTTAGTGGGACACTTTGTAACCTGCATGAGTTACAAAACCTAAATGTGTGGGATGGTTTTCCTTTATTTGTTCCAGAATTCGCTAGAAGAAAAAAGCAAAGAATCTACCCCCATGCCAGAACCACGTTTTTTATTGTAACGGAGTAATATTGTTATCCAGGAAGTTTTCTGTTACCTTTTTTGCCTTATTACCGCAGAGAGTCAATGAATTCGACCATGTGATCATCCTGGGTAAAAACGTCTTCTCATTCTGAATTTGCCGATAGCCACTGGAAATAGTCTGTGTATGCAAAGGTTATTGCTTTCATATTGGTTGTTCACTGCTATTTTTTTGAAGGTATGTGAGGCTCAGTCCCAGCCAGAGCTGAAGCTACTTAAGACAGTAAGCAATAGTTTGTTAGTAAAGGATTGCCTCGTGCTTTGCACATAGGTGCTGCTATCGCTGCAAGCACCGTGGTGGGGATGGGGTTCTAGTAAATCAGTCAGACACTGTATGCCCTCTCTGATGGGGCTGAGAGCCCCTGCCTCAGCAGTTCAGCAGCGGCAGGCTGTGGTCATGGTGAAGCAGGCTAGAGGGAGTCATGATACCATGAATAATCAGTAGGCTGATGTGTTACACATGTAGCAAAGTCCATGTTGTTGTTCCCTGTCTTTAGTTTTGAACAGTGTTCCATTTGCATGTTGTCAGGGTCTTTCAAGGCTGGCTGTACTGTCCTCTTTTTCAAAGCTGTGTGCCAATTGCGTGTTCTTTATTAGTGAAACCTTAATATATTTTAAATTGATAAAATCTGATTTTGTGCCTGGTGAAGAACTGTAATGAATTTTGGCTTTCCTTTGACACCAGAGGGACAGAATGTTCTCTGTGGAAAAAGTGAAATACCAATGATATGTTTTATTATACATTTTTCTTGTGAAATATAGGTTAAATTTGCAGTAATTCATATTATAAAATGGGGGGGGGGGGTTAACCTTAAATGTAGTGGTATTTGGAGAACTTAGCAGTAGTGTCTAGAACTAATTTTTTTTTTTTTTAAAACTAAAATGTAAAGTTTCAGTTTGCTCAGTGTAATTTAAAATTGATTATGGAGGATGATGCTTTTGATTTTTCTTCTCTCCTTGTAGAAATCAGTTGTGGTATTTCCTTTGTTTGACATGTTTCTAGCAACGCTGTATATAAACAGGTTTATTCCTTATGATAACTTGAGTTTAATGCATTGGAAAATGGGAAATAACTGTTTTTAATATTGAAAGATGTTAAGTAAATCTGAAGAATTATACTGAGAGTGTGGACGAGGTGTTCAACAATGCTAAGAAGGCACTTACTTTGTTTTCATCAGTGTATTTGGCTGTTACCCAGTCACTGGAAGGATAAAGTCCTTTCCAAAATCTTTGTGAGCCAGGGAAGTATTATGCACATTTACATAGAGAACTGAGGCACAGGATAGGTTAATTAACTTTTCAGTAGTTGTACAGGACATCTAACCTGGCTGGTATTAGAACCAAGGTTTCGTGCAGCCCAAGTGAATATACTCTCCAGGTGACCATCCTACCTTCCCTTTTCACATTTTTCATCTCCTCTCTCCATTACTGGCTGTTCCAAAGTGCTGACACACAGAAAAAGCACTTATTTAAAACAAAAAAAAACCCCACCAAACAAACTTACACATATTTGGTTATCTTTTACATAGAAACAGAAATAACTTGCTTAGGTAATGTGGGATAAAATTTCTACAAAGGTTTAATGTTTCAGTTTCTTGACTGACCGGTTAAGGTGGAGTCACATTTTAGCACATAAAATTGAAATTACTTCAGATGGACGTTGCAAAATTTTGTTTCCAGAGAATGCAGACATGTTTCCAGATGTTTCAAGAAATGGCATGACAAGGACATAAGCAATTGATTTACTTGTCAAATGATCTGTAGGATGGCAAGAACTGCCAGGATTTCTTTTGAGAATTTTGAAGTCTTTTTAACTGCTTAGCTGTTGCAGTTCTGGACAACTGAAAATGGGCCTCTGGATCCAGTCACCTCAGCTCTATATTTTGATTTCAGTGAGATGCTTTATGTCCCTTTTCTGTAGCTCCCTAAAATATCTTTGTTGCAATACAGTTAACTTACAGTTTAGCAACACTCTTCAACTTTGATGAATCTTACTACTGTCCTATGCGTTTGTTTGGGCTGATTGCCTAAACATTTGTGAACTGATTATTGCTACAAGATATCTGAACTCCTTTTAGCACTTTAAAATTTCACTGCAGACTGCGTATTCAGAATGGATTTATAAGGTCACTTTAGGTTGAGGTCACTATTTAATAGTTGTGAGTTACTGCATACTTTAAGATGCAGATATTTTTATGTCATTAAATAACTCTTGCAGCTTATTAACAGCATTAAGTTGAGGAGACTTAATAAAGTATGTTTCCATGTAAAAAAAAAAACCAAAACAAAACCCAAAAGACCCCCAAAACTTTCTCAAAATTCTCTTAATCTATGATGTTAAGACAGTTAATATGTCAACTTTCAGATTCATATATCAGTATGAATTGTAGTTAACAATGTATAATTTTACTGTCACTAGATTTTAATTGAATCAGCATATCACTTATTATATATTAATGCATAATAAGTGGTGGTAATTCTCTGTGCTAATGTTCCAGCCAAGTTAGTTAAACTATGACTCTCTTTCTCCTCAATCAAGCCTGAACTGAGCTCATTTTTGAAATAAACTGAGCTGCTTTCATTATAGCTTTCCTTTGTCTGAAATGTTCATGAGGCAGAAATTTTGCTTGTGAATACTAATGATCAGAACATTTCTTTTTAGTCTGTCTCTCATACTACGTTCTTTTTTCTATCTGAGCTGTTTTTGCTTTGAGTTTGTTTGTACTGTAGGCTTCCCACTTTGATAATGTACTGCTTTCATAGTGCTAGGCTCTAAAAACCTCCATAGCTTAAGGCTGGGGCCAGGAACTGCCATGCCTGGCAGAAAAAAAATGTATTTCTTAGTGCATTTTGGATGATTGAGAGACTGGCATTACCTTAGTGTATCTTTCTTGGTTCTCCCTTCTAGAGAGTGGTCAATCCTTTTAAAACCCTGCCATTTCTTAAGGATCCTGGAACCAGACTGTCTTTGTCATATGTGTCATTATTGACTCCTTGGATAAAATGGCTTCAGAGCAGTGTACACGTTAAGGAAAAGTTAAAAGAAAAAGTATTGTGGTCTCTCTCCAAGTGCAAGTGCATTCTGGAGCCTGGTGGATATGCTTAATGCTGTGATAGTTGTGTAGGTATTCAGGAAAAAGGGTTTTATCACAGAGCATCAGGTATTTGTTTTCCTTTAATCTTTTCTGGGTTAAGAAACTCACATGAAAAAAATTATTTCATTATTTACAAAGTGTCTAATGCAGCTATACTACAGAGCAACTTAGAAAACTTGTAAAAGAAATTGACATTAAATACTGCTTTTAATTGGAGTTTAAAAAGATTGCAAATTTCAGGTGTATTTAAAAAAAAATCCCAATTGTACACTTTTAATATGTATGTGTGGCTTCATAATTATAAAAAGCATTTATTATCTGTGTTTGTGAATAGTATTTCTCCACATAATTCACACTCTAGCAATAATAATACATGTCTACCATGGAAATCCTATATTGTATTATATATGCTGTAGCCTGTGTTGCTCATTTTTTCCAGACATCACTTGTTAGGCTCAAACCCTCCATCCTTGAAAATAATTCTCTTGCGATCTTTGAAATGCAATTGAACAATTGAACAGAGTGTAAGAGTTCCAAAAAATTAAAAATGCAGCTGAGCGTTTGGAGGCAGTAGTTGTCTGTAACTACTTAAGCTTCTTATTTTTCAAAAGATGCAATTCACATCAAATGTTGTTCCTCAGTATAAGGCGGCACATCTCAAGGCAGGTATACGTAGTTAATTTATCTACACATTCATATTTTTCATAGAGTTATTCTGGAATAATTTGTGGCATGTGTGACATGAAGCAAATGGTGCATGAGGCTTTCTTCCATCAAAGAGGAATTGTCTCACTGATAATTAGATAAATATTTCAAATACCAGGCTCTTGTGCCTTTAACTAGATGAAGGACACTGTATGTTTCAAAACAAACCCAAGAACCAGCACATGCAAAACACCTAATGAAGTTTCTGAGCAAGCAAGGGCAGGGAAGAAAATACTTTTAATCTAGCCCCCACTGATTTATTCCACTGATACAGCTGAGTTGTAACATTAGAGTGTTTCTTAGAATAATGCACTGTGTTTTGCGGTTTTATTGTAGTTTTTATTTTCCTCTATGAGGAAAGGTGTATCAATTTGGGCTGCAGAGTCCTCTTCCTTGCTTGCTCTGCACTTTTTGTTTGTTCCATGTACAGTGCAAAGTTTGTATGTATACCACATACAGATATATACAAAATTACTCTTCTTGCTGTTGATTTAGAACAGCATACAGTTGAAGAAAATAAGTGCAAAAAACTTAATGAGGAAAAAAATTACATGGTAATCGTAGCCATGAGTATATACTTACATTTTTGTAGTAGCGTTTGACTGCTTATTGTTTTCTTGAAATGTTTGTGCTTAGTCAAAATCGCCCTGGTGTCTAACAGGTTAAGTGGTTGAAAGACTCTCTAGTAGAAATGTCTTTTGGAGTGTACTAAAATAAATTTTAAAAACAACTGCAGGTTGATTTTTTGGTGTTGTTTTTTCTAAATAAATGTGTACAATATAAATAAGTATTTTTGTGAACCAATAGTTTCGTCCTTCTTGCATTAATAATTAAGGATTGCTGCGGTGCCAGGTTTTTTTTGTTTATTGCCACCATATGGATGCATTTTGAGGTTTTATTAATGTTTTTTCAGACTGTAAAGCAAATAATAAAAGCTCAGATACGTGAGTAGTTGATACAGCACCAAGAAAGCAAAAAAAAATTATCAGTAGCTGGGAGAAATAGGATGATGCGAATATTTACTCTTAATCAGCATCTGAGAATAGAAGTTTGTTTAGAAATGCACTTACAAATGGCTTTGTATAATTTGGCTGCTCCATTTTTAATGAACATTGTCAGTGGTCTTTCAACCAGCAAAGTTATTTGTATCCTGATCAAGGTAAAAGCCAGGAAATGATCAAAATACTATGTTAAATGAGTGACAATATTACAAGGAAAATAATGGCAGTCAATTGATTCTTTTTTTTTTTTTTTAACAGTATGAATCAGATGAACAAGAAAAAAGTGCCTATCAAGAGTATGATAGTGACAGTGATGTACCTGAAGAGCTGAAAAGAGATTATGTGGATGAACAGACAGGAGATGCCCCTGTGAAAAGGTAAGTTGGCTGTGTGAGTCCTTGGTCTCATTTACATGCATTTCATCTCAGTACTCTAATTAGTTAATTTTCTGTTTAATCTATATGACAGTGGAATAATAATCAAATAATCTCTATGCTGCCTGCATAGTTAGAACGGCTCAGCACTTAGATCTCCAGAAGGGGGAGGAACGTTAAACTGCTCATGATTATTGCAGAAAGAAACTTTGGAAAGCAAGATTTTGAAGGAGTATAAAGGCTCTCTGAAGCAGGTAGTGGAAAACTGATTAGCCAGCATTAGATGTTAACTGAAGGTCCTTCTACAGCCGCTGTTGTGTGCACGTATAATTTCTGTGTGTCAAAAGCAGTTGTTTGCAGGCAAATGGCTTGAGGCTTGGGCTTCTGCTTTTGCAGAACAAAAGTAAACTTCTACAGATTAAAAAAACCAAACAAAAAAAAAACCCAAAAAAACCCCAAACAACTTCTGTAGCTTGAAGGCAGTAATTTTGAATTTTAAATTCTCTTTTTCTTTAAGAATATATATACACACGCACATACATGAATATACATACTATATTTTGATGAGTATTTTATTTATATGTGTTCATATAAACAAAAGCCAACTCTGTAGCCTTTAAAAGAATCTGAAATAGAAATTTCTGTCTAGGACACTGTACTACTTAGATGTCCATTTAGACTTTGTGATGATGGCTAACATTATTTGTATGTAGAGGATTGCAGGAGAACTAGAAAGCCATCTCTTGGGTCAAAGCAGG